ATGCCCTGCATTTCCACTCCTCTGGTGTACTCGCAACTTGCATTGCATGTGCCAAGGATCATCCACTGTTTGACTTCAACAAGAAACTTCTTCTTCCAATAGTCAAACATAGGTTTGGAGACATCCTCTCTATCCTCCCAGATCCATAACCTTTGCTTGTACAGTGATGGCGACATACAGTTGCTTCAGTTCAGCACACAAGATGTTGTGTTTAGCTTCATTGAAGCTGGGAAGGACCTAGTGACGTGGAGTCAAGCAAATTTTGCTCCTCCATATACTCGTAAATCACTCTCATTGATTCTTAAGATGTGATGAACCAAAAAAGTTGTATAACAGTACCCCTACAAAAGAAATAATACAAGCATTAACGAAAAAAAAGTTAGGATTCATAGAAATTACTGAAAATAGAGATAAGGACTTGGATAAATGAAGTGAAAACTTTCCAACCAATCAATTTAGCAGTATTTAGCAATAAATCCCCTCCTCATAAATTTTGAGGGGTATTGATTCTAGATAAGTTCAATCTTGTATTCACTAGGAATAGTTGCTAGAAGTCACAATCTTATATTTTACCTGCGTATGCCTATCTTACTTGACCACGCTGAATGAAATGAAATGAATTAAGGGAAATGTCTGAAACTACAAGTTTTAGTTTTAACTAGATCACAAATTGACCATTTCAGTAATAAGATCAAAATGGATTAGAAGAGTACTCAGGTATAGCATGAAGAATGTATATTAAAGCAAAACTCTTTGTTTATTACTCCAATAAAAGACTTTTCAAAAAAAAAAAAAAATGAATCACCTGAAATTCAAGGCCCTTGCTCTCTACTATGGTCAAAACAGAGCTTGATTCCCAACAATGTCAGAAATAACCTCCGGCACAATCATCTCGTACTAATATCACCTGCTCCGCTCCAAAACCACCTACGTCCCACCACACTTTTCACTCTTTCCAAAAATTTATGATTGCATTTCATTGTTCCAGATTCAAGCAAATTGGAGATTCCCCATATATCATAGTAGTCTCAGGGTTTAAAACATCAACTAGGGACGGAAGAAACGTTAAGAAGATCAATGATGCTCTGAGCTTTAGTACACCTGCATGGGTACGGAAGTTTTGGCTCAAATTAAGAATTTTGAGAGTTGTCCTTTCCGTTCTCTGCCATCATGTTCATTGCTTCTTGATTCCAGTACAAATTTTTGTAGAACAGAGATCGTATCTTCAAACTGAAGTCAATTCCCTGGCAATTGTTTGTGCTGTATCACCAGAAAAAAAAACCCTCTCCACATTTTTGCAAATTATTTGAACAGGCATTGACTCATTGTAAGATCCTGCACCTCGTCAACATAAACAAAATGAATTTGATCTCCCCTATTTCCTTTTTTAAGTCGATGATGAAGATCAATTACTAGATCAGCAATATCAAAATCACCATTTTCCATCTTCACTCTCTCATAGTTTTGAAATATCTCATATATCATGTCTCTCTTTTGCCTACTTAAGTAAACTCTACCCTCTGATAATTGGACATAGTCTTCTTGACTCAGTTTACCATCACCAACCCCCATGGATCGCAGGCTCCTTTTATGTGAGATATAATCTCAGTGAAGACCTTGAAGAATCAAGCTTCTTTGTCAGTTGTTCATTAAAATGGTGCCAGTAAAATCTACTAAACCTGTCATAACTAACTTCCTTTGTCCTCATAATTGTGTATAGAATCTGATCTTAAACTCTGACTTTGGACATCAGAATGTTTCCTTATGTCAGGGAATCTCTCAAAATAGAATGGCCCATTGTTCCATCCACATCATCAAGAACTTATGAAATGTTAAAAAAAGAGGTATGACTAGGGGATGTTCTACAAAAGAATTTGGATATCTTTGAATTGCGCTGCATCATCAATATCATCAATATCAGAAACTTGTCTTCTGCTAGAAACTTCTCACCCAGGCGGAGCTGCATGCATTACAATATTATCATTAGCTATTAAACGTCATCGACACAATAAATCCAAAGAAGCATATTTTATAATTAAGAAGCGATTTGCAAATACAGTGAAAACCTAAAAATGACATAGCTCACTTTTAAGTGTATAGCAACGAGATTAACGTCGGCTGCTCACAATGCGGCCTATTCAATTTAAGCTTATGAGCTAAAACAGCTCCTCCCTATTCATAAAACTCTGAATGATAAAATATCTCAGAGATCACCAAGACAAAAGAGTGACAAAAAACGTGCTGCAAAGGTTAAAATTTTGTTGTTTTCAATCAAATTAGAGATGACTTGCTTTGAAATGAAAATCAACATTAATGAAAGACAAAAAAGACTGCAAGACTATTCTTATGGAAAACCCACAAACCTTTTCAAGTGAGAAATGTGTTGCTTTACAGCAAAACACAGTTTAGGACTGACTGTCACAAAGTGGGCGTAAGATATCTGGTTTACTCCTCCAACCCTTCTCAACCACATTTTTCTGGTAGCATGCGGATGCTTAGATAATCAACTCCATAAATCCTTCAGTTGCCATGTGATGTTGTTGTTCTTTCTGAAATAATTTCATGTCAACACAGTAGTTTTCCCTGTACCTGACCGCCCATATAAAAGTGCTTCTAGGAAAAAGAATCATCTCCAACTGTTCATCTGTACTTCAAATGGAAGATCCAATTCTCTACCATCACGATCAAACAGGTGGTTCACTACACCAGATGATAAAGAGTAGAATTTCATCAGCAACAACTATCAATCACCTCGATTCTCAACATAATCATACTCTCTGAAGAACTCCACTTAAGTCACTTCCACTCTTACTGTCAGCAAATTCTTGAAACAAATTTCTAGAAGTGCCCAAGTCTTAGGAACTTCCAAATTCCTAGTCGAGACACAAATAATTAATACAGCTAAATGAAATGTCTTGTCAGCAGTATAAGAGGAACATATATATTCTTCAACAGAATTGAAAAGTAGACATACCCTTCAATATATTCTCTTGCACAGTTTGATGTAACATCAGTGTAGTTACAAATATGTCATCCAAACGTTTACCAATTTTGGAACATCCTCCAAAGGCAATATATCCCACACTTTCAAAACTTGAATGTAATTCGATTCCTTTACTACGTCAATTGTGCAAATTGTTATAGACCTTCAACTTTGAATTCTTAATAATAGTGAAGAGCTTTCACAAACGAATCTTGTTCCCCTCTAGGCCGCCACCACTTGAAGTTTCAGTAGAAGGTTGATAACTGACTTCTTGTCGCGGTCTGATGTCATTTTTTTAAAAGATTTCAAGAAATTATCATAAAAACAACCTGAGAAATAAGTAAGAATGATCACTGACAAATATCAGCATACCATGGAAGAAAAACTGATTGGCAAAGCAAGTAACTGTGGAAACCATATATCCTCACTTTGGATTTCTGAAAAGATGCTATCAGCATTCAACAATTCATCCAACTCATCAAGCTCTTTTTGTGCCTCTAATATAGCTTAGCCATATCCTTATCTTCATCAGCGTTAAAGAAACAACACCGGTCCTTAGCATCACAGATTAAGATTTCCCAAACAAGCATCATAAGTTAAGGTTCTCTCATTCCCCAAAATCCATACACGTGCCTATACATGGGATAGTAGTTATTCACCATCGTTAGTAAAACGAACTAAACAACCAATGAACAACATTTACATATATACCTAGCCCTTGTAAGGCGACGTTGATTCTCTGTGGCTTGGACAAGAATCCAATGGATCCACTTCTGTTACTTCTCACGTGGAAATTATAATAATGTCCTCCTCTCCTCCTTGAAACCCATCAATTGAATTCACTTTGACAGTAAAGCCGTCACTGCTCTCATACTTGCCTCCAAGTTTTTCTTGAATTGCTACTACTTGAGCACTGTACGGTGAGACTATGCCAATGCTCAGCTTCTGTTTTGAGCCATTCCATCTGCATATTATAGTTAATAAAAGGAGTTCAATAGAAACAGTTTTGGCATTTGGTCAATTTGAAACATTCTTCATTTCATTGATGTGATTCATTATTTGAGTTTTCAAAACTCTTTCCTTCATCATATTTTAACAAGCAATATATAATACAAATTAGTACATGCATGAGAAATCAGGTAATAAGTTGAAAGAATAGGACAGTATTTCCACATTAGCCATGTACAGGAAATCAGCAGTTTTGTGATTTCCATTTGCAGAATTGAATAAGGCCATATCATATAAACATTAGTCACAAATGACAGTTCCTAAAGAGCAATTTTGTACGAACATATTTATCAATTAATGGTTCTTCCCTTATCAATAAATTACATTATTAGAAGTTATATACGATACTTCCATCATGTACATCATGTGAGCTAGCAAAACAATAAGAATAAATACTAATTAATTAATTCAGGTAACAGTTGCTAGGCACACAACATAAATCCATAATGTAGCAATATGAAACCAGTATTGCGTTTCTCAAATGGAAACATTGGAAATTAAATGAATCATGTGCTATGAAAATAACGTGATATGACAAATGAAATCAATTAATTTTTAGATGGTAATATAAATGTTAGACTCCAAAAACACATAATACTTTGTACAGTTCCGCAATATTTCATCACAACTGCTACCTCAACCTATTTTCTCCGGCTACGGCTGATGAACTCTTCTCTCCCATCAAATATATGATGAAAGAATATGGACCAAACATTGGTGATCCTGGCAAAAAGACTTTTTCATAGCTTTTTTCTTTTAACATCGGGGAATCTAAAATCTGGTTGTCATAGAAATATGAATTTGGGAAGTTGCGATTGAGGGGTGCATTCGATACTGTATATTGCAGGTGTTTAGAGTAACCCAATGAGCTCAACCTCAAATAAACTTCTCCCGAAACCAGCTTCATCAAAACCTGAACACAAAACAAACAAATTCAGGAAAACTAAAAAGAGAAGCAAATGCCAAATACATAGAAATCGGTAGAATTTTTGAAACAACATCAACATACATTGCTTGCAACCATTGCTGGCAATTGGCACTCATCCCCAATGAGAATAGTATGCTTTAAGCCCAGGAGTTGCAGCGGTATTGTTGACTCACTTTCTTTTAGTTGTGCCGCTTCATCAATGACCAGAATGTTCAGTGGTTCCATGGCCACTGAATGCAGCTTAAATGAACTAGAAGCAGTGCAGAATATTACTGAAGCTGTTTTAAAACAGAAATCTTTTAATGATTCTATGTTCATATAACTTGGGAGCTCAAGTTCGCTTAAGGAATCCAGAAGAATTCTTAAAACAGTGTGACATTCACCCCTCCTCTTGTGCAACAAGTAGTTTTTATGCCCAGATGACGAAGAAAAATCTTCAGCTACTGAATGTGAAAAGAGCTCTTCTAGTTCCTCAGAAGCTACACTGTCTTGAAACAATAAAGTTCCAAAAGAATCAAGTAAAGTGATCAGAGCTACCATGTTTTGAAAATTATTTTCCAAAATGAAACTTTTGGATATATGAGTACAGAGGATATATATACAATTCCTAAGAGAAGTGGCAGTATAGTTAAATCTTTCTCTCATATATTCAAGAAATGACTTGAACTCCTCTTTAGACTCCTCTTTGATTTCATCTTCATTACTGTTTTCTCTTTTCTTTATCAATTCATTTTCCAAGAAAATGTGATACTGAGAAACACAATCTTCAAGTAAATCAATCATGGAAGCAAAGTAATACCTCCAGCCAGTTTGCACCCCAAAACACTTTGAAAGCCTTTTAGCACGATAATCCAAATATATTTCTTGCATTTCTTCACCAACTTTGAGTCTCTCCTTACTCCCAAACAAGAGAATATCTCCAACAGGAAAAAACAGAGTGCCTGTCCCATGGTTGTCTGTTTTAACAGTTTCTTTCAGCAGCTTTAGAACACGGGAGGCCACTTCTTTAATTGCAACATTTGTTGGGGCACAAGTAAGGATTCTGCATTTCATTCTTAACAGTGTAAAGAGAAGCATACTAACAGCTTTAGTTTTGCCTGTCCCAGGGGGACCCCATATCAGTTGCACAGACGATCTGTGATCACAATGCACGCTATCAAGACAGGCAAGAACCGCCTTCAGTTGAGAATCATTCATTATCGATCTGAGACCAAATTTCTCATTCCAGATGCCCCCATTCTGCTCAGAACAGACTTGGCAAGTTTCCTCCTGTCATTCAACATGCAGGTTTCAATTAAAAACACCACAATTTATGTCAGCAAGAAAAGAAGTAAATCATCTTCAGGAAACTTACCACAGAATTAGTGCATAGAATTTCATTGATAATCTTCAAATTTCGAGGCATATGCAATGATTTCCATATTCTTATGTTAGGAGTTATATTTACCAAGAAAATTACAAATAATGATTTCTCCCCATCATCGACTTGGATGCTTCTTGAGGCCTTGACTTTAAAATAGGTAGAAATGCTATCAGTCTCATTCTCATTCTCATTTACATCCACTAGGTCTACGGTTTTCATGACTGATAGAAAAGACCACGTTCTACCCACCCTTTAGTTCAGTATTGTTTTTCTCATACCCAATCTGGCCCTTTTTTTTTTTTTTTTTTTTTTTTTGTCCTAGCAAGCACATAGAATACTTGGTTAGCATATATATATATTTTTTCAAAATGGAAATCACCCAATAAACACATTCACAACCCAAGGTCGACAGACCCAATTCACAAGCCCATCATGATCAACTGCAACCCAACAACCAGAAATGAAGCTCCAAAGATACTAGAAGCGTTGTAATATGCTGGTCGTTCATGGATCAGCAACTGCTTATCAGCAGAAGTGTAGCGGAGCTTCACTGACTAGATGGCTGCCAAAATCTGCGCAAATTAAGAGATGTAAGAAGCTCAATCTGGCTAAACTTTAACTCTCGAAAAAAGCTTTCAAATCTCAAACAAGCTAACAACACTGTCACCACATCTTTCAATTGGCTCTCTGCCGTTTAAAACGAACTCGACACGGCTGAAGAACCCTTGATGGGTCATCAGATCTCCTTTAGTATCATGGATTCGCAATCGTACAGCTTATCCCAAGTTTTGCTTAGCCTCAGTAAAGCTTTTTTGGCCTTTAGGACCCTGATTTTGCCACTCTTCACCACCCATCCTTCGTCGCACTTTTCAACTCGCCATTCAGGACGAGGGCCAACGGAAAAATCTCTACTAGATTCAGGCCGCTGAAGCCGTGCCTTTACGGGGTTGAGAAAGAATGGAATGGGCAAGAAGAAAATGACGACTAGGGAATAAAAAAGGTGCAAATTATATGAGAAATTGAATGGCTCAGATCTTTCCTCCAATTTGACAACAGAAGTTATATCGCCGTTCTCAACACATCTAACGGCCATCAAGATGCACAATCACGCACCTGGTCAACAGGTCAAACAGGTGGTCAACCAAGTCAACCAGTGGGTCAAACCGGTCAACTAGGTCAGGAAATTCAAAATCAAGCAAGGATGGTTTATTTTGCGAGTATTGCAAACAGTAAATCATAATCGGGATAATCGCTAAAATTACTTGGGCATCCCAGAAAAATCTGAAAATCCAACAGTGTATCAAGTTGACACCCTTCCTTCTAAAACCAGCAAACAACAACCATGATCAACACAGAACATACAATAACTTCTCCACATGTTGAACAACGTCCTAGCCGCCCCTACAACTTATATGTAGGTACATCTTTTTGCCTAAACTTATCACAACTGATATATGAATATTGATTCAGGGTTAGTGATCACATTTTTACACACCAAAATTTTTTTCCAAATTTACACTAAATCATTCCTTATGTGTGTATGCCAAACGGAAATTGCCCCAGCCACTCATATAGGAATTGTCCAACTAAGTAAAACTTTAGTTCTTAAAATGTTTTATACGTTCCTACGTTTCAATTCAACCTCATTTCTGTGTCCAAAATATGCACCAATAACATTGCATATTAAAATTCTTGTCTAATACTGTGAATTTCAATACCTTCGCTGGGAAACCGATGGGCTTGGGTAAACTCAATAGAGGTATGTATTATTGGGCAGCTGTGAGTCCTCTAATAAATGTCATAGCTCATTTCCTTGTATTACAAATAATAAAATCTCTAGTTGTAATACAAACTTAATAAAACATTTTTTATTAATTCTTCATCAAATGTTAGGTCCTAATGCATCCATTCCCCAACCTAAATGCCCAATATGCCCTTTGCTAAGCAATCCCACATCACTTTTCCAAATAGCACTTCCACTACATCTCATCCATTTGCCTTACCACCTTGATATCTGGGGTCCATACCACACTCCTAATCATGGGGGCCAATTTTCCTCATTGTAGTCAATGATTTCTCTCATGGGAATGCTTTTTCTTATGCACTCAAAAGACCAACCTTACCCACATTAGGAACTTTTGTTCATGGTCAACACTCAATTTCACTCTCAGTCCGACGTGTTAACTCTAATGCAAAGATTTCTTTAACCATAACTGTTCTTCTCTTTTTATTCCCTTGGCATTCTTCATGAAAGTTCATGCACATATACTCCACAACAAATAGGGTTGTTGAATGCAAACATCAACACCTGCTAGAAGTAGCCCATGCCCTCAAACACTAAGCCCGCATCCTTGGTACATTTGGGGCGAATGTAGATCATAGCCACTCACCTTATCAATCGATGCCAACTCGTACTGCATGGTAAGACGCCTATGAAGTTTTGTTTGGCAAGCCACTAGCAATTGATCATCTCCATGCTTTTGTGTCTTTGCTACTCTATAATTTTGGGCCGCTGACAAATTGGTCCTAGGCGCTCGTTGTATCTTTATGGGCTATCCCATGCTCCAGAGGGTTATGTTTATATGTCCTGCCGCAAAATGGTTTCTTATCTCCAATGATGTTGTCTTTCATGAAGACACTTTTCCATTCACCACCAATGATGAGTCTCAAGTTCCTTTCCTATGCGCTTCTTAGAAGATAATATATGCTGATCTATCCACTAGTCTTGACCCAATGATTCTTCACCAAGTCACTGCTAGACACCTCCACTTCATCTCCTCCAAATCTCTTACGCTTGCACCACCAACGACGATCTAACCGAAAACTCGTCCTCTTATCTAGACAGTTGATTATGTCTATTCCACCATATCAAACTATTTGGGTACACCTTAGCCCACATTAATTATGTTACTTATGACATTTCTCTCCTGCCCACAGAATAGTGTCAATCAGATTTTTGTGACTGAGAGCCTACATGTTATTCCGACATGTCCAACATGCTCATGGTGTCAGCGTAGCTAATGACTCACTGCCTAACTCAAAATAGTACATGGGAACTAATGCATGACATCCTCATCGGAAACCCATTGGATGCAAATGGGTGTACAAAATCAAACATCATTCAGACAAATCAATCAAACGATATAAAGCCGATTGGTCGCCAAAGGTTCACTCAACGCGAATGACTTGACTACCAAAAACTTTTTCTCCTATTGCCAAGCATGTTATCGTACAGCATTTCTATACTATTGTTCATGATTGGTCCTTACATTAATGGACGTCTTTTCATGTGACTCCACAAAGAAATTTATATGGATCTTTCCCAGACTTTGCCGACAGAGGAGAACTCAGTATGTCATCTACCAAAGTCCCTTTCTAATCTAAAACAGCATCTCTACATGGAACAAAATTCACATAAGCACTCATAGCTAGGCTTTTGCCAATCTAAACATGATTAGCACATTTTCCTGGCGAAAGGTAACACTTTGTTTGTACTCATCTTTATGTCGATAATATTAATCACAGAAATGAGAAAAGGTTTACAGTAAGTTTAAAGGAACACCTCAACAAGCCTTGCATAAAAGACTTGGGAATTGAAATTGCAAGATCTCCAACCGAATATCTCTTAGCCAACAAAAGTATGTTCTTGAACTCATATATAGTTTTGGGTTGTTACATGCAGACCAAATGCCATCCTTTCAAGCAAAACAATAAACTCACTCATCAGAAATATGATAGTGAGATGCCACCTCAAAGATAAATCCACCATTGGAAAATCCTTCATTATCCAAGGCTAGTGGGTTGCCTTATCTCTCACCATGACACATCTTGACATTGTTTGCAGTGCACATCTTAGCCAATTCATACGCAGACAAAGCAATAATCTCAGATAAATGCAGCAATGAAAGTGATTAGTATTTAAAGGTTGTCTTGGCCTAGGATCCCCCTTGCCTCGGATGAGCATCCACATCACACATACTATGACTCGGTTTGGGCTACATGTCACATGAAAGGAAATCTCTTACTGGTTTGCATCAAACTTAGGGAGCCCTTATATCCTAAAACAAAGAAACAATGAATAGTGTCACTATCATCAACAAAAGCTTAGTATATAGCCATGGCCAAAACTACATGTGAAATCACCTGGATTTATGGGCTATTAGAGATCTAGAGATATAAGTAAGAAAGTTGGTTCATTATTTTTGACAACAAAGCTACAAGACATTGTGGCAAATTCTATTCAGGAAAGAATAAACCATAGATATGACTACCATTTCATTAGAAGAAAATCCAGAGAGGATAATCAAGACCATGCACATTCCACTACAAACAACCGGACGACACCTTCACAACCTATATCCGCACACACACATATTTGCTTCACAAACTTGGGGTCTATGACAATACAAACCATAAGCTTGAATGGGAGTGATGAAATAGGAATGTCCTAGAATAACGGCTTGATTACAACAATCTTCTTCACAAAATCAACTACAATCCTAGCAATCAATCACCCATGATTTCTATAATTACATTATGGTGTTACTATTTTTACAATACATTTCTTGTATAAACATACATTGTACAAACATTGTAAACACAATTGAATACAAACAGAAAGTATTTCTGCATTTCTTCTCTCAGGCATACTTTGGCACATTGATCTGCTTCTCTTGCCTTCCACTTCAAACTCTGACTATATTCAAGTGTGTATTTTCAATGTACAAGACTCTCTATTATACATTTAATTTATGCTATCATGATAATGGTTAAGGAAAGAAGAAAACTTGATTCAAGTATGACTGAAATCAAGTTTGCTTGATTCAAGGCGTTTGACACAGACACAACCCCCCCCCCCCCCCCCCCCCCCAAAAAAAAAAAAAAAACAAAGCTCAACGGGGTAAGTGAACCCAGCTTGAGATTGGAAACTAACTTAGTGAATCGTCCTAGATGATGAGTTGATGTAAGTAGCTGGAATAAGACAAAATAGTTGATTTCGGCACAAATCGTTGATGCGAAAAGTCAAATGATGAGTGAAGTCAAATAGCTAGACAAAGTTGTAGCAATGGTGTGCAAGTCACGATGACGTGGAAAAGACAACAATGGCGTGGCCAGTCAATGTATGACATGGCAAAACTGACAAGGCAAGTCGTGTACAGACGTGTGTGAGGTGTGGCAAAGACAAGGACCGTAATGGCAAAGGCAGAGTGCCTAGATGGCGTAAATAGTAACC